CATGTAATATGTGCTTGAAAGATAAGCCACTTTTTAAGGTCAAAACAACAGCAAGCACAGGCTATATGGGGACAGGTGCAGATAAAGATGAAATGGAATGTTAAACACAGTCAGAAAAGCAGAGTTTAACAGTGAGGGTGCCGGTGAAGTTATTTGAAATTAAATTCAATACAATTCTGACAGACAGCGCAATACATAATTTTGTGGTTTCACAGTGATATGAATTCTCTAGCTGCCAATCTGTATGGGCATAAAAACAGGTGTCACCACCTTTATTCTGGGTACAATGCAGGGGAAAAAGCCCGAACCTCTGAGAGTCTAAAGGAACTTGCAACGCTGATGCAACACTTTACCAGATGCACTCTTGTCTGTAGACTAACAAATCTCAAAACCTTGTGAGGCTTTGAAAACCGAAGCCGTTTCTTTTGAAGGCGTCTGCAGTCGCATTCTAAGGCTAACAGAGTCTCAGAAGCTCATGGGTTTGTGTTAGTGATGAAACTAGCTAATTCTGCACAGAATGTCGAATGTGTGTGCGTGTGTGCCAGTGTGGGTCAGGTATATATTACAGAGCTCAATTCTATAAAAATCTGTGACAGGTCCCCACAAAGGTATGAATACAAACGTGTGTGTGTGTGTATATATGTTAAACATTTGAATTGCTTTTTTTTTTTTTTGAAAGTTTAAAATATTGTTAAAAATAACCAAGGATACACCTTTAGGCTGAACATTGGGGGGCTTAAGGTCTCCACCCATTTTGTGATTATTTGGGGAGGAAGGGTTGTATTGTGTTTTTATTACTGGCAGGAGTACACCCCCTCCCACCACTCTGTAACTTACGCTCATTAAAATAACTGTAAAAATCTGAATTAAAAATTAAAGTATTTTCCTTTGTTTAAACTGGGATTAGGTCAAATATAAGAGGATAGTTTAAAAATGGTTATGTTGTTTTTTCATGTTTCTAAAAGGTCCTCCCACTTAAATGAATCAAATCTACTTGCCATTCCTGTGAATGTTTCTCATTTATGTTTTCCTGATAAGCTGTTTTCCCTCTGAATCATCCTCCTTTCACATTATTTCAGGCGCAGGAGTCCAGCATTTAAATATTCTTTCAATAAAATTTAATTAAAAGTGATTAAGCCATGCAAATACTTGTATTGTTTGGATTTTTCAATTGTGATGCCGTGATTACAGTTGGGTTTTTTTTTTGGTGCTTAATTTCTGAGCAGTATTAACCCAAAAAATGCAAATATGCATGTAATTTTGCGATACTTATTCATATGAATCGATAGAATGTAAGTGTTTTTGTCTTGGATCGTGTGTTGTGTACCAGGACATCATCCGTCACTGTAGGACCCTTCGATCTCACAGCCGTATTACTGACAATAACAGGCCTCAGCCCACCTGGATGAATAGCTGTTCCTTTGGTGAAGATGTATTTCACCTTTCCTGGAATGTGCTACGACGTGACCGTGTGTGTCAAAGGCCCAAGGTGCTTGTTGATGCGTGTGCAACCCCAATTTGTAGCCTCTGGACCATTCGACGATTAAATGCTAAGCGCTTTGGGGTGGCAAGGAGTCTCTGACCTCCAGGAATCTGGGTTCCAAATTGGCTTGCCTGGGCACCAGATTGCAGCATCACCTGTATTCCCATGGATGTGTTGTTCAGGTGAATTGGTGATTCACTATGTGAATGACTATGGTTGGCTCTTCTGAAATAGAATGGTCCTACCACGGGCTCAGAACTGGCCCTAGAATGGTAAGATTTTAATTTGGTCCTCACTGAAAACAAATCCATCCATTCTTCCATCACCGGTTATCCTGTACTGGCTTGCGAGTCGGAGTCTATCCCAGGAATCACAGGGCATAAAGTCCAGCACGCCCTGAATCGGATGTTCTTACTGAAAAATGGATAGGAAAGTTGTTCTCTCTTCTGTCTGCAGTTTGTTCCTTGGTCTCTGGATCACTGCAGCCAGTCTGAACCCGTCCTGTCCGCCTGGTCTTAAAGCTTACTCAGAATTCCCTGTTCAGCGACGCCCTCGTCAATAGCTACATTTCTCAGATTTCTGCTGCACTAGCCCTAGGAACAGTGCCCAGCGTTAGCATTTTTGTACAGCTGTCACTTTTAACTGCTTTGTCTAGGGGCAGCCAAGGGCACATCACCTGCACTCATCGCCCCCTACAGGCCGTTAGTCTCTCTGTCATGCTGAGATGCTTAAGATGGGGCACCTGGCTAGACCCTGAAAACCCCCACTATTAGTTTGCCTGCTGTAGGTTTTATATTGTTTGTCACTATTTTTTGAGCCAATAGGATGCTTTATTCTGAAGGCTGAGACCTGACTTGACTCACTTCACCTCCGTCTGCTGTACCATCACCCAATCCCAGCACTCCAATCCCGGCACTCTTCCCCAAATCGAGCCCCTCGCACCGTCAGGTCCAATCTCCGCCCAGCAAGGAATGAGAGAAACGATTTTAATTATTCAGAATCTTATCGCCTCGCAATTTATTTCATCCTCAGCCTTGTTTTTCCTCAGCAGACGAAGTTAATTTAATAAACAAAGTTAATTAAACATTTAACATGCCATGGGGAAAATATTCTGACATTTTCAGTGGACAGTTGCAGAGAGATTAATCCGTCTGCAAATTGATTTTATTTTTCAGCATGTTAAGTAGAACCTGGAATCAAATGGAAGCCACCATTTTTATTTATGGATGAGTTTGGCTCGGTCCGGTTTGCGCCCTGGTTTCTGACACACAGGGGTCAGTAGCCCTGGCTGCATCTTGAAAAGGCCAGCTCCCATCTGGTAGCTGCCTAGCTTCAGGTCATTAATGTATTATAATATTAATAACAGTTATTATGACTTGGCCGGCACTGGGAGGGGCAAGAGCTTCAGTATCCAGGTCCATGACTGAAGGGGAGTTGTAGGTCAGTGTTGGTGGGAACATGTGACAGGCCTTTGAAGCAACTTAGCCTTTTAAAATACCTGGTAAACTGATGCCCAATAATCAGCTGTCTGGGGGTAAATATGGAGCAGTAGGTGCAGGTGGCTGTTTACGGCTCTTAACAAAGTGCTTTGTGAGACAAATCTGGGTTTACAGTGGGATTGGTTTTGTGTTTGAACGTTCCGGCTTGCCATAGAACATCACCTATTTTAGGTCTTGCTTGTTTTGTACTACTTTCATATATATATGTAAGTTTGCATGTTCTTCCCATGTCATCATTCAGGTTCTCTGGTTTCCTCCCACAGCCCCACAAACATGCTGAGGTTAATTGGAGTTATCAAGTTGTGCCCGTGTGAGTGACTGGCGTGTTTGTGTGCCCTGCGATGGGTTGGCGCCCCATCCTGGGTTGTTCTCTGCCTCTGGGTCAGGCTCTGGACCTCTGTGACCTTAAATAGAAGTGGTTGGACGGATGGATGGAGGGATGGATGGATGAATGGATATTACTGTCTTTTTTCCCATTGACTACTACAAAACCAGATTCAGTAAAAGTAAAGTAAAAAAAAAAAAAAAAACCGACCAATCAGTCGTAAACAAAAGTCTTATTCCAGTATTAACAAGAGATGGATTGTGATACGGATGCTGGCAATGCAGCCCAACAATTTATCCGGCACAGAGAGGAAGGAAATGCAGGCCCAGATTTGGAAATGGGTGAAACGCTGCATTGCTGCAGCACGCCCAGAGAGCCCGCAATCGCACTCACAATCACAACCATCTTAGCAGTTTGCCAACGTCATCATTCACAGCCTCGCAGCAGTGAAGCCCATCTGACGGTCAAGCTCCTGGTGACAGACGGGGCCACGGACGTGTCACCCAGAGATGCTGAAATGTCTGCCGGCGACACGCCCCCCCACCCCACTGCAATCTTTGATGCATTCCAGCCATTCCTCCCCCATCTCCTTGCAGCATTGAATTTGCATAATTTCGAATGAGGCATTCTGGGTCAAGCAGCAGCCCCTCAAATTGCTTCAACCCCGCAGATACCGAACAATGGCGTCTCTCTCGCGCCTCTGGCTAATAGGGTACAGAGGCCACGGTGCTGACCTTCCCGCGACCAGAACTGACTTTTAAAACATCGCACCTTAAAAATAACAGTATAGCAAGGGAGAGTCGATTGGTAGACTTCTGGCTGAAGAGAGTACTAGAATGGTACTTCACCTCGGCTGCAAACAAAACTGTTTTACGGACATCTCCTGCGTTTATCGGTTATTTATGCGGCGTGTAAACATTAGGCGTGATGTTCGATGTTACATTTGGCTCGGATTTGAAGATGTTTATACCTCTGGACACTTTGTTCTCTTATCAATCTTTGCTCAAAGCTTTTGATCTTCGTTCCTCAGAGTTAGAACAATGCGCCAGTTGTATTTGTCTTCTTATAGTATGTAAAATTCAAGATGCTTTGTGGCTTGTTTACAAGCGTTTAGCTCTGGAATTTATCTCTGTGTACCATGCTTACTGACACCTTTGTTTTCGAGAATGTATTTGTAAGATGTGACAAGACTTTTAAAATATATATATTTATATACAGTATATATAAATAGATGAGAGACGATTCTGCCTGCGATTCAAGGTAAGAGTCTCGCCTTCGCCAGCGATTCTCGCCTCCGGTGCCAGGTTGTGTCCATCACTGCCTACTCCTGGTGACTTGCTGTGAGATGTGACATCATGTCAGTCGTGTGTGCAGAGTGGGGGTGCAACTGTCGGACACGGAGGGGAATCCGGAGGTGGCGCAGAGCTGCAAGGATCTGCTTCATGGTGGGGTGATGGGACGGCAAATGGGGAACGGGACAGCGACCCAGGAATTATACGTTGGGGGGGGGGGTGTCAACAAGGCTGAACACGGGGGCACTGCGAGCGTTTAGCGAGCTGTCGCGGTAATAGGCATGCGCTCGCAGTGCAAAACTGGGGCACTGTAACTTCTCTAACGAGGCGACGCCTTCGGATCATTCGCATGTGCGAGCGTGCGTGCGCGCGCGCGCGCGCGTGTGTGTGTGTGGGCTTCTTGTTCTTCTGAGAAGCAGCCCAGTTTCGGCGAAATTTGACAACGCTGTAGGAGGACGATCCACCGGAGCTTCCCGGCCGAAAAGAAAAAAAAATAAGAGGCAGCAGATACTATAGGGGAACGACAGACATTAAACCACCCCGCAGCCTCAAACAGCTGCCTCCCTTCAAAAGCAGGGTGAGAATAAGCCGATAAATATATTCAGCAATTTGGTGGAATTAAATGAAGCCTTTATCATGGGAATCACTGGGTACATCAGCCGGCACATTAACGATTTTGCGTGGAGAACACCCACATTTTATTAACGCTCCAGAAAATACTTCATTATGGCTCACAAACAGCGTCCGGGCCAGCAGACAGCAGCTCGCGTCACTGACAGAGCCTGTGGTCGTTTTGTGCCTTTGCTCATCTGGAAGAGAGGGAACTGGACGAATAGTTCGACCCGTGTGCGTGGAAGGCATCCCTGTCCTCACTCTCTCCATCTCTCCCGCTCCTTCACCTCTGTCTGTTAGAGTTATGTATGTATTACATTGTGGGGGACCAAATGTCCCCCACCATGTAATAAAAACCTGTTATTTTGACGTTGTGGAGACCATTTTTCAGGTCCCCACAAAGATCTGTGAATGCAATCAAAAAACTAAAAATGCCAGAAGTCTCGTGTTTTGTTTGGTTCCTTATGGTTAAGGTTAAGGCTGGAAGTGGGGATTAGGGTTTTGCTCATAGAAATTAAAATACTGTCCCCACAAAAATATGAGTACCGGTGTGTGTGTGTGTTTGCGTATGTGTGTATAATACAGTACTGTGCAATAGTCTTCAGCAGTCAAAGGATACGTCTAAAGCTATTTATCAATTTCAGTGTATATGTGCTCAGAACGGGAAACAATTTAACATCAGAAGATTAGAACTTGTGCAAATGAAGGATAACCCAATACAAAATGAACAAGAATTTCTTCTGTTCCCCAAAACGTTGCTGATATCTAGTAGGATGGTTAGGAGAATGGTTCCCAAACCTCTCCTCAGGGGACCTCAGCCATTTCATGTACAGCATTTGTTACATTTCACATCCAGGCAACTTAACTAATTCATTTAAGTAGTTTAAAAAGCCAATGAGATATGGATTAGCTATATCACATGTGCTAGTGACATTAGGAAATTTTTAAGCCAACACACTTTTACAGATAAATTTGTAGTTTTACATGCAAACATGAACATCATTTTCTTTGACTGTCTAAGACTTTTGCATAGTACTATAATATAATATATACCGTATGTCCCCTGGCAGCCAAAGGCTTTTTCCGGCAATTCCCACATATGAACTCTGAAATTACTATGCTCACTCCTCTTACAAGACCCCATTCAGTGCAATTTCTGTCCTTTCCGCAGTTAATAATAACTTACCATTATTAATCTCCCGCTGTGAGCCTTATCCCAGGAGGAAGAGGGCATCAGGCAGGAGGGCATGCCGGACAGGAAGTCACTCGCACGCCACGGATAATTCGGTCTCAATGATTCGCCTACTTGCATGTTTTTGGACTGTGGGAGGAATCCAGAGGTCTTTCAGGGAAGGCACAAACACGGGAGAACATGCAAACTACGTGTCCAAAGAGCTTGGAGGGAATCAAACCCACAACCTTGGAGGTGTGTGGGGAAACAGCGCCACCTATCGAGACACGGTGCCACCCGCGCGTTTAGTATATTTTGACTTGAGAAATGCTCAGCTCCGTTCTGCACTGCAGAGCGGCAGCGAGGGGAAGGTTAATGACATGAGCTGTAAAGCGCTGACATCATCCATCACGCGGCGGAGGAGTCCCGGCTGCCGCTGCCTCGCACACCTTCGAGGCACTCGGATCTCATAACATCCGGCTTCAAAGGGAAGCAACCAAACGGGGCGTGAGGGACCCCGGACTTTCATATCACCTCCGCTCCTGTGACTCTAAGTCAGTCTGGAGGATCATCTTTAATTAGAAGCCACAGTGAGTTTGCCCTCTGCTGACACTCAAATGTTTTAACACAGGAGTGTGGAAATGCCATTGTGAGAATTCAAGCTTAATGTCATGGTCCACTGAAGTCGTCGCTGCCGTGGTGCATTGTGGGATATGGCTTGGCAGGCCAAAGGGGGGGGGGAGACGAACGCTGTGGCTGAAAAGCCCTGCTCTAATGTAAGGTCCTCTCCTTAGATTTCATTAAAGGGAAGAAGCGACGTCCCCTTCCCCAGAGATGCGCAGAGGTTCCTCTAGCGCCCCCTGTTGTTTGGGGCAGAGGTGCTGTTGAGTGCGATCATTTTTGGGTGCGGCATAATAATTGGAATGTTAAAAGATGGGTACAGGCAGGAAACCTCCCTGTGCTTACCAGCTCTACGTGTCTTCAGTACCGCATCCACAGATTTAAGCCATTCAGACCCCCCCCACCCCCTGCCCAACCCCCCCGCTATGCTAAAAGCACAACACAATTTTCTGTTAGAAGGCCATTGACTGAGACTGAGAGAGACCTACTCCTATGGTGTGCGGAAAAACACATTAACAGTAAAATTTATGTCTGATTGTGGTGGGTGGAGATTTCTACAAGCAGTAGAGTGTATGTGTGTGTGGGGGGGGGGGCTGAGCTTGCTTGGCTCACAGCCATTTGCAGATGAGCAACAGGGTAAATGATGTGAGAACAATTGCAACAGATATATCAACATGGATATACATGTTTATATTATCTATTTCTAAAGAGCGATTTGACTATGAATGATTTCACCCTTTGGTGGTCCTGAGCCAATCATTTTATCACCCTGACAGGTAATCAGACAAATTCAAAACATGCAGCTATTCCAGAATATTCCACACACACGCCAAGGCTGACTTCTCTGGGGGGGGGGGATTTAAAAAATGCAGTAAAAGTAAATCACTGGCCCGCAACCAAAAGGTGATTTTAAAAATTCATGTGACCAGTGGCTTGGAAAATGCAAATTAATTTAGAATAAATAACAGAGTATATATTCTGCGTACTTTGGCTAGCAGAGTGGGTTCAGGTCATACAGCCTTTGACGACACCGCAGGCCTGGGTGTACACTGCCACCCGGGTGTCCTGCTCGTCTGCTCGGATGTAGGCGAAGCCTCGCATCGTTGAATGAAACCCGGCTGCTTTACATCGTATCTTCGCATTAGCGATTTTGTTAGCGCCGCTGAGAAACGCCACTACACTGGCCGACTGCACAATGCTCTCGGTTGCTACGGCAACGAGTCCATCACCTGTTTCCCCCCGTGGGTGAGGCTGAGACTTTGTTCTTTATTTCTTTCTAGAAACAGGCCTGACTAGAAACCAGCCAGAGGGTAGTGAAAGAGTCCCCCAAACCCCAAAGTACAACTCAATCAACACAAAGTCATTTCTCATCTTTTAATATGCTTTTCTCTTTACACTATCTATTCCTAATTCAGTCTTGCGTCATACCTCTGTGGTACAGTGTCCCAGACTCTTTTTATGCGGGCGTTTGTCTGTGTATCGAGCTTGCTATCTTTATGGGGACACAAAGATAGTAACCTTCTGAAAAACACATTCTGGAGACATCCCAGGTAAACAAACCTGTTCTGTAAATGTGTACAAAAAAGAATTTGTTGTCAGTGTTCTTGTTTCTGAGTTCTCTTTTTGTTTTTTGGAAAAGTGAAACATTTGGAATGGAGTCATTAATCGTGTTAAAATGAGAGCGAATGTGAAGTCTTTGAAAAGCAGAAATCCATCCATCATTGGTGTTTTCCGCTTGTCGATTTAAGAGGCTGAAAACTGCAAACTAAAGAGCACCAGAACAACTTCAGAATTATAAAAATCAACAGGAATATGTTTTGTGCTATGGTGCCCCCACCGTGTTTCTGACAGGAACAAGGTCACTGGCGTCCAGGCCCTGCTCCCCATCCACTTCAAAGGGAAACACTCCACTTTTCCTGTGGCAACCCTGTGAAAAACAGCAGGAAACGGCGGCTAGCAGGTGAGAAAAAAGCAGCCCGACTTGCTGAATAACATTTCAGGTTCCTGTCCTTTCCTGATCCCAGTTCGCAGTAATGCAACGCTACCCAGTGCTTGGTTAATGTGTCTATAAAACAAATGTACTCTGTTACACTGCTAATATGAAACACATATACTCTTAAATTACTACTATAAAACACATACTCTGTCAAATTACTACTATGAAACACATATACTCTTAGATTACTACTATAAAACACATGTATTCTGTTAAATTACTACGATGAAACCCAAACTCTTAAATGACTACTATAAGACATATACTCTGTTTAACTACTAATATGACACATATACTTTGTTAAACTACTACTAAGAAACATATATACTTTGTTTAAGTGCTACTATAAGTCTGTTGAATTACTACTAAGAAACATACTCTTAAACTACTAGTATAAAATACATGCAACTGCTACTATAAGACACATATATTCTGTTTAACTTCTGCTATAAGACAATTGTGGACATTGTGTATCCTGAAAGTCACAAGTCAGTGTATCATAAGCTGAGCATAACTGTGCTTTACAAAAACGACAGAGCATAGAGCATGCCTCACTAGTAATGGGTGCAGGGTGTACCTTTCTGATATTGAAAGAGAAAACACACCGTTTAAAAAATATTGCAGGAAAATGGGAACATTTTAAAATGCACAAGTACTTCATAGCAAAGTGTGTCCTGCTCAGAACTGTTAAACAGCAAAAGGGATTTCGGAACATCTCTGCTTTTCTTCTGCGTCAATGCTGGACTGACAGAATAGATCCGTGGGGCTCAGTAATTACCAGACTCTCGGTTGGCCTTGGCTGCTGAAGCAGTCGGCGTAGCTGTGCTGGATACCTATTCTTAACCCCCCCCCCCCACTTCTTCTGGTTTCCTTGCTGGTCTCTAAAGTGCAGTTCAGCAAAGCTCTGAGATCACCTGTCAAGTCTCTGGGGATTTTTAACCTTTTCATTTTGTTGTGTCAGATTATGATGTTGTCACACAGGTATCCAGGCTGAGCTGTGCCACATGCCCCGTCAAATTATGCACAAAATGTATCCCTATGCTGGCACATTTCCGGGCACCACCTGTGCGCTTCCAGGGTGCAAATTCTTTGGGGCAAAACTATCTTCCTATTTGGAGGTGGAATCCAGCAAACAAAGGCATGAGAGCAGCACCACGGAGTCACAGAAAGCTTACATGAGTACCGAGGCTTCTTTGAACTACGAGTATTAAAAGTGACTTCCTCCCCCCTTCAAAGCCGTAAGAAGCTGCAGTAAGACCCTCTCTCCTCAGACACGGCCAGGGTATTGAAAGCCTGACCCACCGTCTCACATTAGCTGGCCTCTGTGAGTCATTGCTCTCACTAACCGTCTAGCCCACCGAATCTGACACTTCGTTCAGATTTGCCGCCCCCCCCCCCCCCCCTCCGGGCGTCTGGCATTCCCACACATTATGTAAATAACCACGTGGGTGTGCTAAATGAGCCCAGAAAGGAAGGCTGGTGTTTTTTTGTTTTTTTTTCCATTCAACTGAGCCGTTTTTACCAGCTCCCGGAACTCCCACTGACCAGGGAAGGACGAAACAAAGACGGTCATGTGCGAGGAGCAGCAGGTGGTGGGAGCAAACAGCACACCGAATCGCTGCAGCCTCGGCGTAGGGTTAAGGAACACCGCGCAGCCTCGGCCTGGGGTTAGGGAACACCGCGCAGGATCGCCGCAGCCTGGGCCTGGGGTCAGGGAACACCGCGCAGGATCGCCGCAGCCTCGGCTTGGGGTGCAAGCTGCCTAATATGACCACAGGCTTTATAGTCATCCTGTAAAAATGTGTGCAATCATCGAGCCTGGCACCAAACATTACACAATATGGATTCTATTTTTAAAAAGAGGAATAAGAGAAGGCTCTCCTTTTTTATTTAGCACTCTTCACATGTAAATCCTAAGCTGACAAGTACATTTTAACACACTTTACCCATCTGGATTTTATTACTGGGGAGACTTAGAAGAGCTCTTGCAATAGCCGTCATCTTGGGACTTGAACCAACAAACTCTATCCTCCTGCTACCTTTTCTGATTTAACCCTTTAACCACTAAAAAAGGGGCTTACATATACAGTATTTTGTTGCTGCAGCTTGAGGGACCAAGGGCACGATGAGCCACACTGGGCCTTGTTGGGCCCCAGAGGGGGAGAAACTGCTCTGTCAGACCTGTGCTCATGATCTGGCAACGTGCTTTTAAAGGCACAGAGCTGAGCTCCTCTGTGTTTCCATCTGCAGATTTTTATTGCCACATAGGCCCACATTACAAATGAACACAGTTCTGGACATCTGGACAAATGGGTTTTGTCCCATTTGCATAAACTATTGTGTTAACATCCTTAAGAACTGTCATCTTATTTACCCCTTAGCAATTTGAGAACTACGTAAAGGTACAGACCTAAAGATATATGTTTGTTACGGCTCTATGCATACAGTACTTTGTAGCGTATTCATGGGGAAAGTTGCCTTTCCTTTTAATTGTGTCCATCCATCCATCCCTCCATGCATCCATTGTCCACCACTAATCTGGGTCATGGTTGCATGGGCAGAATACTGAGCAGAGATGCCCAGGCCTTCCTCTCCCCAGCCCCCTCCTCCAGCTCCTCCAGCGGGAACCCCAGGTGCCTCCAAACCGACCAGGAAATATCATCTCTCCAGCGTGTCCTGGGTCTGCCCCAGGGTCTGCTCCCTGTTGGACATGCTAAATTCTGCCAGGCATCCTAATTATAAGGAGAATATTATATTCCTCAGGAGGATCACAGTGCATAGAATGGGGGATTCACGCCTCCAGGGTGGAGGGTTCGATTCCCACACCCCGACCCGCACTAGGAGAGTTTGCATGATGGACATCGGTGAATCTCAATACCAAGAACTCCAAGACCATACTTGTGGTCTGGGCAACACTAGTCCTGCTAACTTGCTGCCCAAGAATGAACGAGCCCAATCCCACAATTCATTGTGCCTCATTCGGCGAGGATGCAAGCGATGCACCCTTGATATCTGGGGTGAGGCAAGAGCAACATCTACAGATTTAATGTCCTCAATACTTCTGTTCTTGAGTATTGGAACCGGTCTTCGGCAATGGAAGATGACATAAAACAGGTACACGAGAATACAAGCACGGTCAAGTATGCATATTGAGATTCACCCCATGTATCGTGTGGTTCTGCTATGGATGCTCCCATTTCTTGCTGCAGCTCAAATACACGCAGTTCAGGTGACTTGATTTGTAAGCGAGTGTGTATGCCCCATGATGCACTGGGATTCTGCTCACGGCACCCTTTGCTGCCTGGGAGAGGCTGAAGGTTCGACCGGGTTACCATGGTTGGATGTAGAGTCATTACATTCACACACCACAGTACATGCCCTCGCGGAGGGTCTGTACTGCAACCTACTCCCCAGAGAGCATGCAGGGCATTCAGGTCAGTGGTTCACTGACCCAGCGTGCGTCTTGGAACTATTCCCACAATGCTTTGCATGCATACAAAGCCCCACCCCCTGCACCCAACTAAGTTACTTTCAGCACGTTTAGGAAAAACAGCGTGAAAGGTACAATTCGCCACCCAAATTATGCGAAACGCAGCTAAGCATGTCTAATTAAGTAATTAAATGTGGAGCAGAAACACGAGTGTTAGCCTGCTAGTCATTACGCGACTACAACAGGAAAGTAGAAAAGCTAAACATCTTTAAGTAATTCAGGGTCTGTTTTTAATCTTTTTTTTTTTTTTTGCTTTGTAGCCACAAAATTATGGAGCTGATTAAGTCATAAAGACAACAGAAAGCTTCCCCCCCCCCCCAAAGGGCCTGACAGCACTGTGATAAAGGGCATCACAGGGCTGAGACGAGACGGCTTCGTTAAAGAGAGTTTTTCTGGGGGTGGGCAGATGGTCCACTTACCTGCACGGCTTTTATCGAGACGGGGCAGTCGGGTCGCCCTGCACCCATCTCATCTTTTCGGCTGAAGTGCCGCAGCTGTTCCGTCGTCGCTGGGTTTTGTGGCTCCTGTTGGAAATCAGCACATTTCTCTGAAGCACCTGGCGAGAGTGTCTGAAGACCAGCCGTGGTCCTGGGGCGTCACTATCCTTTGGGGCTGGACTGGGGGTGGGGGGTGCCTGTGCATTCCATTTCTTACCTATAAAATTATGTTCTGTTTTGTTTCCTTTATTTATGTAATTGTTCCACTGCATGATGACAGGTGTCCCTCAATTTACAATGCGGTTACGTTTCGGTGAACTCGTGGTAACTTCAACATATCGTAAATCGAACATGAATATGATATGATATGACACACTTGGGTGTTTACAAGATGTAATGGGTTGGGGAAAATTTGCCTAAACACAAAAAAAACTCACCTTATAATTCGTCACACTGTACGGGATGTTGGCTAGCTGGGCAACAGATCGAAAGTCAAAGTTTGATGACTATTACATGTGCAGCGCTATTGTACCATGACAAAGGCGAAATGCCAGGTGTCAAGTACCTGTTTGTGTGTCTATATTTTCCTGATTTACAGGCTCTGGTGGCAGGTTCTGAATTTGACCCCAGTCCTGCTTTCTCCTGGGCCTCCTCTAGGTGGCCTGGCTCCATCTCCCCGCCCAAAGTCCCGGATTAGTGACTCAGAGTCCACCTTGTGTGTCAGTGCCAAGCTGTGGCGTCCGACCCAGGGGCGCCTCCTGGGATAACCGCTGCATCGCCGCGAACGAGGACGGATGCACGACTTCCAGTAAATTTTGTGTTTATGCTCACGAATTTTAGCATGAGTAACAGCTATCATCACCATCATCAACATCATGCCGAATTTCCACCCGATGGCCTCACTGCCAACCGCCTCAGCATCGCCCCCTACAGGGAGGCAGGCCGAGGTGTCAGTAAAAAGCCTTGCATCGCAATGTGGGTGCGTAGCTCCTAACCGTGTCTAGTTTGGAGAGCATCTGCTACTTGCGGCGGAGAAT